AAATATTAAAAACATATATCCTTAGTATCAAATGATGTGACTTTTTAAAAAAAATTATTTATATATCGTGGTTTGGTAGAAAATTTCAAGACTGCGGCGTTGAATATGACCGCAAATCTGATATCGGTCTGCTGTTCAGTGCCAGTGATAAAAAATAAAAATCGATTTCCGCTTTGATTTGACGCAGTTTCTTCTTTCTTCATCCATAAACGATTCAAATCATAAAGCACAATATGTCATTGAGAAATTGAGCAAAAATCCATGGAAAATGTACAAGAAAATTGAATTCACAGGATGGCTACTATCAAGTTGGCTTGTATTTCCTCAATAATTGGAATATTTGCTGTTGTCATTCACTGAGCTGGCATTGTGAAGGACAGGCATTCGATCCCAGGCTGTGGCTTGAAATCCAACTAACTCCAGATTGGTTCAGATGAGTACCAGCTTGTTTGGGAAATAAATGAGGTCGGTGCACTATACTAACCACATTGTCACAATCAAAACTGTTAATCACTGAATTATGCAGCCTTAACCTTCATGACCCCTATGGCCTTCAACGGGGTGATGCGTTGACATTAAAATGATGACATTTGAGAAGCATTGATTTTTGTATTTTTAATTAAATTCTTTTTAAGACCCACTAAATTCACAACTTTCTATGTAATCGCCAAATAGTGAATGAGGGAAACACACTACAATGCAATATTTACAAAAAGAAAAAAAAAGTGTTTTTTGTTTCTAATTACGATAGTCATTACGATGGCAAACATACAACACATTTATCATTATGGTCATACGAATAGAATGTCCAATGACAAATTTTTTAATTTGAAAAGTTTTTCTTCAAAACTGCATCAAATACACGAGAACTTGATGACTTCTTTATTTTCACTACATACTTAAAATTGAAACTGCATACCGTTGATGGTCCGTAGTCACTGTCCTTAATAGTTATATATTTCTATTATCCAAGTCAAAAATGAAGTAAAAAAATATGTATATTAGGTGTCACAAACTATATTTAAGCAAGGGGGAAAAAACGCTATTGAAAACATCAAACCTTGTTTGATTGTCCGAGGAAAATGAAAGGAAGGGAAAGATGATAATTGGAGACACCTTCAAGTTTTATCTGATAAGCAAATTAGTTTAGTTTTTTTTTTTAATCTAACATTTCTTGACATTGATTCCTCAGATTTTTGAAAACTTTTTAATTTTTTCTTGCTTAAATATTAATTTGCAACCCACCCATTTTTTCGATTTTTTTTAAAAATTTTATTTTTGATAAGGATTTTAAAAATACATATTATACAGGGAATGATTCCGCATCACGAATAATGCAGTTTTCGGTGCAAATAGGTTTCCCAGATCTGTTGTTTGTAGTATCTGATTAATTTAAAGTTAAAGTATGACATTTACGTATTTTTTAAACTATAATTCCACTAAAAAAATTTTTTTTCGAAGTCTCCTATGTTCAACAAAAACACATTTTCAATAAAATGAATTAAAATTGTAGTAAATTGTGTAATGAATTAAAATAGTAGTTAAAACTTCTCCAGAAAGGTGTTTTAAGAAACCAACCTTAAAAGCGTTAAGTTTCACACAATTAATTTGTTCAAATTTAGTTCAAAATAAAAATTAATATAAAAGAAAAACACAGTTCCCTTAGGCACATATCGTAGCGAAACAAAAACTGTTTATTCTGAGTGTTTGTTGGCGGTCATCGAAGTTTTGAAAAAACTTCCGATTAACAAAATAGTCAAATAATAAAAAAAAATAATTTTATCATCCATCTTTGCCTTCAATGACGAGTTAGACCCATAATCTTAAATTTAATTTAAACGAGAATTATATAGCTCCTGATTCGTGACTTAAAATACTCAAAAATTGTTACACATATTCGATTTCGGAACGAGATAATGGTTAAATATTTATCATTCAATATTATATGCATTCATGGTTGCATGAAGAAAAAAAATAAAATAACTAAACATGAAAAAAATAATAATTAGACGCAGAGTTCGACTGCAAAAAATATTGGCCTCTAATCCATTTATAATATTTACAGGCCTTTAACATACATATATATATATATATATATATA